TTAGAGGTGGGACAGTTCAATAAACACTGGGAGCGACCGGTGCTCGAGTCATCGAGTGCTGCTCCCGGTCTGATGCCGTCCCCGGAGTCAGTCGCCCTGCGCCCACCAGTCGGAGCTCCGATCGACTGGCCCAGCAGGCACCGTGACGACCTGATTACACGAGAGAAGGGCTATGGGTCTGTGACGACCATAACCTCGAACCCGGCCCACACCCACAATTTCAGTCAATTCTGTTTGCAGGAATCGTCGATCCACGCCCATCAATCCCTCCTTTAAGCCAAAAATTCTACACTCCACCTCCCCCAAAATTTCCCCACACCTAATTGTCATCCCATTTAGGCCAATTGCCCAAAATACACTTTCCCCAATTCGATGGAGACAACCCTCGACTCTGGATTTCTCGAACTCAAACATATTTTGAGATGTGCAATCTCCAAATGTCCAGATTAGTTAGTGATGGTTTTTTGGGTCAAACTTTTGATAGTGGTAAACTCAGTTTCTCACATCTTTTAACTTTCCCCTTTTTTGCTGGTCTTTGAACATGTCGTTGCACTTTTTTGCGAAGGTGAAGGAATGAAGATTATGCATCAGCCATCTGGCGGTTTGCATGAATCCTTTGTGCCCTTCGGATAGGGTTGGTGGTTTCAAAAGCGTGCTGGACTCGGACTTACTATACTTTGACCCTGATAGAGATGTCGAGCTTGCGAAGGCTAGTTATCAATGACTTCCATGATTACGAGTGCAATGATATGCCTCTAGTAACTTGTACACCAAGAGCCAAGCCATCTTTAGAGCAAGGCTAATAATACAGCCGATTGCTGGCTGTATGAAAACTTACAGCCAATCTATCAGCCCATTCATATAATAGTTAGCCGGCTTACAGCCTACTTATCTGTCTCACATAACTTCTTGGTTTCTGTGCATAAGCTGGCTGTAAGCTTACAACCCGCTTCTCTCTGTCCTCTCTCTCTCTCTTCTCCTCTCTCCTCCATGTCAGCATATAGCTTGTTTACTGCCCCTTATTATACTTGCTCTTAGTGTGTGGGTGGAATGGCGACTACAACAATCCATTTGGACCACTTTCGGAAATCCCTGAGCATAATATTATGTTCATCTCTCAGCATGAGATTAACCTTTTATTCTCACGCCTAACAATTAGTTAACCTTATATCTTTGGGTATTTTGTCACCTAAATATGTCATCCATGGATATTTGAGCAGGAGATGGCAGTGATCCGCATTGTCTCTTGGAGTATGGTATGGTGGACCAAGGGAGCATAATGAGGTTCTTGTTCGAGTGATGTCTCCAATGGAGAACCATCCAATCAAGAAGGTCTTCCAAGCATTCGAAGAGGCAGAAGTCCGCGTAGGCGAGTCAAAGGTCACGGGTAGCAGCAACGGGACAGTGGTGCACTCTTCTGACATGGTCGATTGTCGATAGGAGAGTTGTAGGTGGAGTGAAGCAAGATGAGATTCTTCTGACTTTAGCAATGCAACAACAAAATGGGGGCTCGAGTTAAGCAGCCATTGTATGGTAGGTTTCTTTTAGGGGCTTTGTTTTGGTACCTCTAAATAACTGTCCACCATTGATTTGGATGATTATTAACACATTACTTCCAAGGAGGTAATATAAGAAATATATATTTATATCTATCTTAAGTTTGAGAAATAGAAAAATAAGGAAAATATCTATCAAACAAATTTAGCGTGCATGCACATGCATGCTGCATGGATCTGTGCCTATTTCCCATCGTCTAGTATGTAAGTTGATGGATTATTTTTATGCGTCATAATTTAGGCCTTGTTTGGAAAGCTGATTCTCTGTTGAATCCAGCAGGAGCTCCGCTAAACAGTTTTTCAGATAGAAATGATTCTCTGCTTATTCTGTCAAGTGATTCTCTAAAATTAACTAAAAGGCTGGGAGCTGAAAAAGTAGCTTATCTTGATTCTGTGAAGTGATTCTCCATCGTGATTTTGAGAGTTTATGTTAAAAATAAAAGAGAATCACTTCTCTCAGAGAATCAGTTTTCATAGAGAATCAGAGTCAGATGGAGCTCTATCAAACAGGCCCTTATATCTCAAATTATGTTACGTGAACTTGATTTTTTTTTTTGAAATCTGACCTATTTAAGGTTGTAGGTCTTACATGAATTGTAATATTTTATTTTGGGATACGACATACATATTTGTGTAACATATGCATTCATAATTAAGCTGTGAGTCTTTAATAATCTAACATAATTAATCATAGCAATATGTTTTTTACGTGTGACATCTAAGGCTTAACAGTTATCTTGTGTATGTATGCTTTATGTGTCAAGATAAGGACATATTCATGGTGTAACATGACCAATTATTGCAATTTTCTTAACGTGTGACATCTAGTGTGTCTAATGTGACCAATTTTTTTTTAAGAATGTGTAATACATTCACGTGTGGCATATATCCATACATGTGTGTTGGACAGGACTAAAATCAATTTTAATTGTTTTCTATCTTTAAAAAAGATATTCAGGTATGTTTCCTTACTGGTCAATGGTGAGACTAAGGAAGGATGCCTCGGCAGATAAAAGAAGGATGTCCGATGAGATTTCTAGCCTTTTTTTTTTTTGATTTAGTTATTTATTAATTGCTTATTTTTTGTATGGATTTTAAGAATGAAGGGCTAAGATTTGTTTGACATCTTACCTCTTATGAGGTAAAGGATGTACCGTAGCAAGACCCTTCTTTTAGTTGGTCCGGCCCTGTAGTTTTGATGTTTTGTTTGGGATGGATGGATGCTGTGTTTCTAGTGTAAGCTTGATGCATCAGACCAATAAACAACAATACATGTTTTTTTCTTCTTTTCATGCGTGATTTGAAAATTAAATTTATAGCAATTTTCTTTTCCTTTTCTTGTTAGGGAATGATGATGATGATAGTTAGTTTGCTTAAGAGAAGCGATGGTGTAGTTTGTCCACGAGTGCGCACTTTGGTTGTGTGGGATTGGACTTGGGGTGGTGGCTTCGTTAGGTTCTAGATCCAGTAGCTAGGCCCATCCATCCCGGTTCCCCATCCAGCACAGCGCCACACCACATCTCCTGCCGCCTTCAACTCCAAGCCTGATGCATCCCGCATTCCCCAGCTAGGCCCATCCTCCTGGTTCCCCATCCAGCACAGCACCGCCCATATCTCTCTAGCTCAAAAGTATGACGCACCCATCCCCGCTTCCTCCTTCCACCGCCACCCCCGCACCTCCGCTCCCAAAACTTGATAGTGACGCTTTCCACACCGCACCTCCGCTCCCAGCTTGACAAACGTATATCCTCCGTCCATGAAAGAATACAATTCTCATATTTTTAGTAACAAAATGCTTTCAAGTTTGGCCAAATTTATACAAAAAATACTAACATTTATGATACAAAATAAATATTATTAGATTCGTTATAAAATTTACTTTTCGTAATAGATTGATTTGGAGGTATTATTCACTGTAAACTTGGTCAAACTTTGACAACTTTATCAGGTCAGCTCAGACAGGGAGCGCTCCGCGGAAATTGATGGCGTCGTTCGTCATTTGCTGCGCCGAGACTACACATTTGGGCTACTTAGTCTCTCTATCTCGAGAAGGCCCGCCACGCCGCCTCCATCCACTACAATAAGAGCCTTATCCGCCACCCACGCTAAGCCTAAGCCCGACGCTGACGCCACGCGAACTACCTTCCACTCCCTAACTTGGAGTGCAACATCAATAAGGAGAAGATCTTGAATATTCTCCTCAACACCTCGGCCTCGATCCAGTGTAGGTTGTCGTATCCGTTGTCGTCATCGCACCTCTAACTTTCCCGCAAGTGGAGATCTATTCTCACATTCATCGCCTCCACGCTTGGCGCTGCCTTCGGTGCATATCATGTCCCAATAACCAACTTCTTCCGCAGTGCTTTCCACTAACATGAACTTCCTCCTCATTTCCACGGAGTCACTCTTGTTGGCCTTCCGCAATGCTTTCCACCAACAGTAACTAGAAAGACCTTTACTACTGCAACCTCGACTACTGCATACATGAATGTGCTGATACCCTAAGTTGAGCCTTATTAAGGCAATGTTGAGCTTTCCGAAAGAAAGTCTCTCTATGTCTAAGTTTCGATGTAACATATAATCTCTAATCCGACCTCCTAAAATTCTCCTCTATCTCTAAGTTTGAATAAGATATAATCTCTAACCCGACTTGTAAAACATCTTTATTAACCACCCCTTGTCATCAGCGTTGACCATAATCTTCTCAAGGTCAATATATGATCTTCGAACGTATACCACTTCTATGTGACCCTATATACCCATTGTACTACAACTAAAATGAGACATTCACACCAACACCAATGAGAGATTGACTTTCTACACAAGAAAACTCAAGCTTTATTCTCTTTTATGCACTTGGGACAACAATGGCACACATTTTTGCCTACCTATGCCATCCTTCAAATGATTTCTACTTGTCTTTTCCTCTTCGAGGTGGAGTGCTCCCCTATATATTGTGTAATTATATAAACACAATTGTTGGATTGGTGTCAAGTGGCAACAACCAAAATCATCATATACAAAATATATTTGTTGTAGAACATTATTTATGCTTGCTTATCTAAACCCTAGATATTTTTCCACCATACAAAAACATCTAGCTCTAGAACCTTCTAAACTTCACCATGAACACAACTCCACCCACACTCAGCACTCCTTCTAAACTTCACCATGAAACTCCAACCACACTCAGCACTCCTAGGACTTCTACAAGCTCCAGCATGGGGACATGCCGGTTCCCAAGGAGGGGAGGATGTCACACCACATCTTGGAAGGCCTAGCAGACGAAGACGCTACCACAGTACAAGGCTTTCCGGCCCAAGGTGGGTGTGTAATGCTTGTAAGACTAAGCCCGCGAGAGTGTTAAAGGGGACACCCCTGAAGATTGTAAGGACTAAGCTATCAATTGAGAAATACAATCCTCCAAGCCAGGCAACCTGTCGGCTAGAGCGCCTCTGCCTTCTTCCCCAGTTCTTCCTTCCTCTGTTCCGATTCCCTACCGCCGGTGACCAGGTTGCTAACACTGTGAAGCTATACTAATTTCTAGGATGCTCAATTATGCACGTTTATATTGTGTTATGGACGAGAATACATGGGTTGATTGGCACAGACCTCACCTAGTTCTACTTGAAGACAATAATATAGGTCCACAGTCAGATGTTCCAAGCTACTATTACAATTGGAATCGAAATCGTACGTGATTGCCAGGAGCCTAGGAGGACAACACTGCACCCTACATTCTTGTTGTTTCTGCAACCAGTCCCAACTAGTGCACATATATTGGCATTGTGGACCAAAACTGTTGTTTCTGAATAACTTGAGCTTCCCCAATTCCACACCAGTAAACTTTCCCAGATTGCATCTTGGATAGATTCTAAATTTCTGGTAAGAAACATTATCTACTGCTGATGCAGGCAGTGACAGCCGAATCTCATTAGTCACCCTGCCTGAATAACACAACAAACTTCCTGGCATTGTCAACACTGCAGTTCCTTGGGCTGGGATTACTTGTCGCTGCAAGTTGAAAGTTGAAGTCAGATAGACAGTAACATTAGTATGCAGCATACTACACCAGTCACCAGGCACAAAGTCATTGCCACTCCATGCATCGGTTTGCGAAACATTCAATGGCTCTACATACTAGTGGTAGCAATAATACAACTAGGGGGTGATTGGTTGCCCTGCTTGCCCCATCCGGAGCCCTATCCGGCACCAAGTGGTGCACTGTGGCTATGTTTGGTTCCCCTCCTCGCACGTTTTGCCTGCTTCGTTCCATTCATCTGCCCCCCTCTATCCCGCACGCCTCCGTCTTCTCAATTTCACTTTCCCTCGCGAGTCGGGATGGCTTCATACACACATGGTGCAGGGGCTCATGTGTCAGGCACTCAAAACTTTGATGCATGCATGCAACCAAACACGATCTTGTTTCGTACTGGACCAACAACAAAGACTACCAAATACAGCAAAGTGCATAGTCTTATCATGGCTGGAAAGAGCCTGGACAGACACTCCATCCCGGCTCGCTGACCCTTGAGCAACCAATCACCCCCTTAGTGAAGTGAAGAATCGTGAAATGACAACCTGTAATTGTGATACTACGCACGTATGTACACGCGCAAAAGAAAACGGGAACTCATCGAAATGGCTCGGACATTGGTCATCTATAAAAGAAATGCATCCAGAAATATTCACCTGATGAACAGAAACTACCTACCACGGTAAACATAGCAGCAGCAGCAGCTGCTTACCTCTTCTTTTGGGCGGGAGTGGGTTTCTTCTTTCCCCTGCCGGATGCAACGTCGTCCATGCTTTGGCCCTGGCGCCGGTAGCGGCCGCCGGACGCGACGAAGCCAGGGCACGGCCGGTACGCCTTGATGGGCCACCAGCCGAAGCCTGGGACGGCGGCTATGCCACCCTGGATCCGCCCTTCGCCATTGCAGCCCCTCTCAACCTCTTCCCTGCCGCAGCCCTTGCAGCCCCTGTGTTGTGTGTGCATCAACGCACAACAAGATTATAGAGTATTATATCCAGCAGAAGCATGAATGCAGCACTACAGTCAGATATAGCTGATTCCTGATCGGAACCAAACTAAACCGTCTTTTAATTTTGAGACATATGGTTCGGCTGTGCTAGTAACATGCTCCTCCTTTATTGATTGATAAAGAAATATATATAAACAAAATGGTACTAAATGAGGTTGTCTTTTAGAGAGAGAAAAGAGAGAGGTTTTGTTAGGGACCACTATGTAAAGTATAAACAGAGGTAAAAAAAACTAAAATGAGGACTGTTTCGAACCATTAATCCAATGTTGTAAATGGTGGGGGAAATGACTAATGAGCAGTGGTCTATGCAAGACCAAAAAAAAAAAGGTCCCACCGAGAATTGAAATCGGGTTACTGGATTCAGAGTGCAATGTCCTAACCGCTAGACCATGGAACCACTTTGTGCGTGTCTGGGAAATAAAAATTATATAGACATCTTGAATGTTGCATATTCACTGAACATAGGAGACAGACAGAAGACGCCGATGAAGTGCTAGGAAATTGAAGACAAACAGGTAGGTTACCTGAAGTTGGGGTCATCCTTGTAGCTATAGATTTCAGGCTCAGGAGATCCTTCCTCTGACGAAGGATCAGAGGCTGCCCCCTCCTGCTCCTTGGTCACCACAGAAGAAGTGGCGCCAGAAGCACCGCACAGAAGGTGGTTTCCTCTCCCTGGACCTAGCACGGCATGCTTCTTGTATGCTGGAGGGCATGCAGAGGAAGAATGGTTGCTTGGGAGTGAGAGCAGGGGGCTGTGGAGACGATGGGGAGGGAGCTGCAGCCAGACGGAGGCTGCTGCCATTGCTCCTAGGTCCGCTTCCCCTCCGTGGACGGTGAGTTGTCAGACAAAGAAATTGGGGCTGGCAATGGCAGGGCGAGGGGAGTAAAATTGGAGAAGAGATTGCCTCGCTTGGGAGGTGTGGAACCATTGGATGGGATACCAGCCACGTGGCACGCCCACTCTGTGGTGGGATAGTGCATGGTGGATCTTGCTTCTCGGATTTCCTTGTTCCTTTTTTTTTTTCTTCTGATGAGGGGGAAATAATCACCTCTCCTCGCTGGTTGAGTGCTGGACTAAACAACAATATACTCCCTTAATTTCTCTCTCCGCCCAGAAATGGTAATCGTATTTGATGAGAGCAAGTCATATAAAGTATAATTTTACTCTTAATTTCTCTTATATAACATGTAGTCCATTGCTAAAACATCGATATCATTCTTAGATACACTTTCAACACAAAATCTATTGGTGCAAGTTTTATGCTCTAAACTTGCATATAGTTTATCTAATTGTTGGTCAAAATTTGTAAAGTTTGACTTTGGCTTTTTCTCTGGTCAAACATTACAGGCACCTTTTCAGTTCTTCAGCCTTCTCTTCTTGATGTTAAGGAGCTATCACACCACACACATCCATAAAAAGTAAAGAAATGACGGAAATAAAACGTAGCAACCACACCTTCTTCATGTTTGCAATGCCTGTCTTCTTCTCGGCACCACTTTCTACAACAAGATGCTCAGCTTTCATCTGTTGGCGCCAAACACCCCTCTGGTGGGAAGGCTGTCAAATGCAAAGCCAAAAACGCGCTTTCTACTTTCAAGATGAAAACACAACTTTGTCAGGCAGCAGAGAACTTGATCAGCCCACCTGTACTGTGAGATAATTAAGGGATGCCATATACACAATTTCATTTACAGGAACATCCTATCCTCCTAATATCCTTTTTAGCCAAGACACAACAAGAGAGATTTGCACCATATCCAACCAAAACCAGCACCATTTCCTTTGAAGATTGCAATCACTTAGCTACACAGATTGGGAATACAGGCGCCGTCTGGGGTCTGCTGCTCTTTCCAGATCCGGCCAGTGATCCTGAGCTTCAGCTCCTTCCGGTCGCCACCGGAGAAGAACAGCGCCATGTTCCTCTGGATGATGAGGCCGTCGTGGCTGTCCCGCACCTTCCGGTGGCTGTCGCGGACGCTCCTGGGGGTGCCCTCCCAGACCATCTTCCTCCCGTTGGCACCGACCTCGAGGCTGTAGCTGTAGTTCTTCGCCTCGTTCTCGTCCCCCATGAAACGGAGGAAGGCCATGTATACAGGTGCCATCCCAAGCTGGAATGCCTCAAAGTGCAGGCAGAAGTACTGCCCGAAGCAGTGAAACACCTGCTCAGAATATTTACCAAATCAAATTCACAGTTTATTATTTTATTCTGTGCTAATCCTACGACGAGAATATTTATTTACCATGAGAGAACAAGCCTACTATAGGTACCTACCGTTAGCATCCAGGTGGCGTTTTCAACTTCTCGTGGGTTCGATTTGACATATCTGTGGTTGAATGTGCAGCCGCTATGCATATCAACTTTGTGATCATCCCTCAAATGGGAAACAAGATAAGGGATGTCACCAGCTGCGGCACATTCAGAACCAGCATAGGGGCAATTGTATGGTCTTAAGCTGCATTGCGCTTCGTGTTTTATCTTGCTGTAGTATGGGAAGATTTCTGGGCATCCCAGAGAGTAGTACTTGCAGGGAAGCTCAAGCTGACTCCGCTACTTTCTCCAGTGCCAAACACCTGATATCTCCAAGCTCTTGTCTACAGGTAGGGCAACGGTTGTGCACTCTAGCCTTGCATGTGGAACACAACGTATGTCCATTTTGGCACTGCAAATGCAATCAAGTATGTGAGATCAATATCCGAATGCCAAATGCAATAAGTATATGAGAACAACATCTGAAAACAGAAAGCTTTAAACATTAAATATTCTCTCTTTTTTCACTTTACATAGTCTCTTAGAGTGTCAATTGCAGGCTATTGGAACCAAGTGCCGTATACGTTAACAAGGAAGGTGACATATTCACAATAAAATTCCCTTGAAAGCATACAGCCATAAACCGTATAACTTATCTTCTTCAATCATGTCTCCACTCACAGCCAACATATTCTTATTAGCATATTCTGTTTACTTCGCTAATATTTCATATGCATCACAAAACTTTGCTTCAGTGCGCTCCATGCTGTGCAAAGTGCAATATGAGTTAGTGGCACTGGCACTGCCAACCCCGATGCCAGAATTGCTCTACTTCTACTACTGTGGCATTCACATAACTATAGAAGAGAGGTTGATTGGGCCACCATCAATTATGCATCCTCCACCCAAACAATCAATTCATTGGCAATCGGCTCAACAAAGGAAATCGGAGCTAGAAATAGAACACGATAACGAAAGGTTGCAACTTGCACAGAGGTGACAAGTGACAACCACAAATCAAATCAAAACAAGGTTGTAGGGCACCAAACTTCTGAAGGTTAGGAGTTAGGACTCAGGGGGCAAAAATCCCAGGACAATTTAGCAGCCGTGAGTCGTGACCTGCTAAATAAATTCTCTTGAACTCTATTTCTGTGCAAACTAAATGGTTAACCCAACGAATTGTCATCAGAAAGTTAGTTTTCTTGTTCATCTCCGTGTGTTTTTAGGCTGAGAAGTAGCTAGCATGTTGGGAGTGCTAAACATTTGCTAAATGACGGTAGCACAAATACAGCTGATTGTTGAGTCAATTCGACGAATTTTGTGCTGGAGGAATGGAGGACGATGGCCGTCGAAATTACCATATCGTAAAGTCAAATCCCCACGCATTACGCTACTACTACAGGCGAAGGGGAATTCCCCATTCGAAATCAAAGAAGACAATCGATCCATCCAAGCAGAGCAGGCAGCCGGGGCAAATGGATCAATCAATGAAGGGAACGAAGAATAAGGAGAGGCGAGCGCGGGGGCGACCTGGTGGATCGGCGGGAACATGGAGTTGGTGCAGACGGGGCACTCGAGCAGCTCGTGGACGCCGCCGTTGGCGGCGGCCTTGGGCCAGGGCCGGGCGGCTGCGTCGGGCAGCGAGACGCAGTCGACGTCCATGGCCGCCCGCCCGCCCGCCGGCCCGCCTCCGCTCCCTGGGCTCCGGTAGAGGGGTGCGCTGGACGGACGTGCGGAGGGAGGCTGGGGCGGCGCGGGGGGTCCGGCGCTTTGTGGCGGGAGAGAGGACGGAAGGCGGGGGCGCGCCGCGGATTCCGGGGGTGCCCGGGCTATAATGGCGCTGGCGCGGGGCAGCGCGGCAGCAGGACCATTCTTTTCTCTTGTATTATTCGCTGGTGGATGGATGGATGATGATGGGCAACATGGGCGATGGGATGGGAGCTCCCCAGCCTACTCTACTCCTAGACGGCTAGACACCCCATCCAGTAGGGTGAGGACGACGACGCGGCGTGGCGTCGGCGTTGACGTCGTGAGGGAGACGACTGGCGATTGAGAAATTTTTTTAATAAAAATGGAGCCAATGTCTCACAAGTGGTTCCATGGTCTAGCGGTTAGGACATTGGACTCTGAATCCAGTAACCCGAGTTCAAATCTCGGTGGAACCTATTTTTATTTTTTTTTATTTTGCCCGCAGAGGATTCTTGCTGTTACTATGACAATTTTTTTGTTGGGCTGTGATTTTCAGGACTGTTTAGGCTGAGGCCACAGCGCTCCTTTCTAAGAACAAAACTTTGACTAGAGATAATTTAAGCATTAGGAAGAAGACAGAGGATAAGCTCTTGTGTTCACCATTTATTTTGATTGTGTAGTTACCAAACAAACGTGGAGGCACCTTTCCAGATATTTTTGGTAGGGAGCTGGGCTACAATTTCCTGTCTATAGGACAGGACAGCTTTGGCTTATAGCAATAAGAAATTCTTAGTTTCTAATGTTTTTAGTGCAGCAGCCCTGTGGGGGCTTTGGAAACTAAGAAATGCTATTTGTTTTCAGGGAACAAGTTGGAAGGATACGAGTCTTTTACTCTTGAAAATTGCAACAATGCTTCAAAAGTTCATCATGACAAAACTGGAGGAACTGAAACGTGTAGCAACAAGTCCGATAAGAATCGATGGCTAGAGATGGTGAATGATCCTAGGAAGAGGTTCATATTTCAGGAACCACAAAACTGGAAGGCCTTGGAGATACCAGAGGAAGCTAAGAAGTACCTGTCTTACAATCTAGAATCTGTCTCGGGTGGCAAGTCTGATCAGTGGTTCAATCTAGTGTCTTGAAGTTGCTGTTTTGGCAGTAGTAGTTTGAGAGTGGTTTTTCAGTTTTTTCGTGCTCTTTTAAAACCTGCTGTATGCTTTTTGGAAAGGTGTTTTAACGCCTGAATGTTTGTATATATGGATGTTATTGTCTTTGCTTAATGCAATGGCTGGGGCGCTGCCCTAAAATTCTAAAGAAAATTCATTACGTGTAGAATCATAGACTACTCTTTGTTGGTTCATTGATTGATCGGCGCATCAAGCCTATCAAATTCGTGCTTGCAGTAGGCCCACCTCATGACTGTGGATTGCGTTGGCAACACGAGCTTTCGATGGTACATCAAGCCTGTCAAATCCGTGCTTGCAGGCGTTACAGGATTAGGTTTGTGTGAAAATACCTACGCAATGACACGTGACACCTCTCATGATTTTTTAGAGTTACGGACTATATATAGATTGCTTAGTCCATATACATCATGGTTGTTCTGAGAGATTAATATGATGGTTGCATCATCAGGCTAGGAGGTAGAATGATATATAGCAGCAATTTGTAGTAGAATAAGATCGGTGCACCTTTTTTAGATAACGGACCAAAGTTCCAGCTAGATCGATGCACCTTAGACCCCACATTTTGTAGCTAGCTTCACCTGTTGATTAAGCACTAGTTTGTCACGGTTCTCGATCCTCTTAAAAGGGCTGGCTTCTCTGTGAAGCTAAAGCCATTTTCAGAAAACGTGTGGCAAAAACGATTGTAGTGGTAGTTTTGTTATGTTTTGTGCCAAGTTTGTGAGGAGTGGCTAGGGGAAGCCACTTGTTCGTGGCTTGAGGTCCTACGTAAAAAAAAACTCCAGCTCCTCCTGGCTCCTTACCGAAGCCATTTTAGCACCTGTTGTTTGGTTGCTTCACGAAAAGAACTGCGAAGAGCTAGAGCTGTAGTCGTGCTATACGCACCCTAAATCTTGTATTTATGGAGGTGTACATTATGTAAGTTACTGGACATGTTTGCCCGAAGAGAAGAGAAGGGGATTGGGTCAAAATAGCAGACTTTGTTAGTCTAGTCTACTTATGTCTTGCTTGCATATGCATAGGGATTAAATGACAGTTGAACTGTATTGAGTAGGGATCATAGATGAGCTTCTCACGTAGCATATGTGTTGACTGTTGAGTAGTGTACAGCGTGCACCAATGTCGTCACAAATTTTAGATAATGCGCCTTTATTATTAGTAATGTATTTCTTCCTTTGTTCCAGGATAAATACACATCTCGTATTCTAAGGGATCAATTCATCTCAAGTTTGATCAAATATATACAAAAAGAAATACTAATATTTATGATATGAAATAAACACCATCAAAGCAATCGCATCATTTATTTTTACAGTAAACTTATTTAGATATACGGATGTCGGTACTATTTTTTTATAAGATAAATTTAAAATCGTTGGGGGCGTAGGTATCAAAGGTTCAGTGTCTTGGGCACAGTGACGATTAACGACTCAGACATCAGTACATCATCAGATTGGACAGAAAGTGGGCTGTCGATTCCGCTGTCACCGACGGAGCCCGCCGTTGGCCGGCCCAGCCGGCAGCGGCAGCCGCTCACGAGGCTCACGCTGCTGCCCCAAGCCGAGCCGGCTGCCTTCAGTGACCTTCAGGTTATAGAAACTTATGCCTTCAGGTTGAAGCTTCCTCGACTGGCTGGAGCCGAGCCGGTCTCTGTTGCGTAGCCTAGCCGAGTGCGGCGCGGCTGCAGGCTGCAGCACCCCCCTCCCTCCCAGTCCCAGTCGCCTCCCACGAGCGCTACGGCAGCGCGTCTTTCTCTTCCTTCCTCTTCCTCTTCCGGTGCCCGTGCTCTCCGTCCTCCGCCTCCCTCGCGCGGAACCCAGGCCGCCGCCGCCGCCGCAGCCACGCAAGGCGACCGCGCGGCATGGTAAGCGCCATATCCCACCCCTAATCTCTCCCCAACCAGCGCCGATCCGCCGGTCCGCGCCTGCGGATCTCGCTTGCTAGTCTAGTCCGCCGCCTAGATCTCGCTCCTCGTCGCTGCTTCTTCAGACTTTCTTACTTAATCGACTGGGGGCGTTAGGGTTTCGGTGTCGAGCTGCGCGTGTTTCGGCTGCGTGATTCGATACCACGTCGCTCCTTCCTTCAGGCCCCCGCCTGTTCCTCTCGCACCACACGCCCGCACGGTGCACCCGCTCCTCCCCAAGCAAGGCAAGGGGAGGCCGGAGGGGGACGATCGCACCATTTCCGGGGATGACTTGCAGCTCCGTTTGCATATCCGCCGCACTTTCCTTTGGCGCGGATGCCTGTCAGGCTGTGATGCCATGATTGCTTGTAAGTGCGCGTTTATGAAGGTCCCGTGTAGTATCCTTGATTGATCCCCACCTGTACGCGTACGCCATTGCTGCTATGTTGCCGCGGTTGATTCATGGCACGGTGCTCCAGTGACCTGTCTGGCGTGCGTGCTCTTAGCATCCACCATCTATGCCTGTTGATCTGATACGCAAGATGTTAGATCATAGCTGTAGCATCTGAAATGTGTTCTGTGCTGGGAAATGTTCTATGCTCAAGACTATCCATGTTTATGGTGCTCTGGACACCTTTAGTGTTTGTTTTCTGATATAGCTGGGCAATTTTGATTTTTATGTATATGGCTCGTTACGGTAGCCCACAGCGACTCGATTACTGTGAAGAATGATCTTATTTGCAATGCGTAAGTGTTTTTTTTTTCTTATTATTATTATCATTTGCTTTATCCTCGCACATTGGCACGTATTTTCGTATTTCTAGGTTCACCCATTGCCTGATATTACTGCCTGCATTTGTCTAGTGCAGTAGGCAACCTTGTTAGTTCTGAACTGCCCTTTTTCTTCAAACCACTGGCATTGTCGTATTGATTCTCATTGATTTTTTTAACATTTTTGGAACTGGAAAACATATGACTACCTCCTCTTGTTCCTGGGGTTTGTTCTTCCAACGTAGTCAGTTGTTTGCACTACCATTTGATGAGTCGCGCCGGAGTGATCAGTCACGCTTCAAAAGTTCAAGTTGCAATCCTTTCGTACAGTTTGTACCTGGGATTAGGCGATATGCTTTAACCTCACACAAACAGACATGTGCATATTGCCCCCTGTAATAACCAGGATGCACTGGCTGACAAAACAGTACATCTGCAACTAATGGTTGATGTTTAGACGTGCCTGAAGCATTCTTGATCTTGTTTTCATGCAGGTGGCGCTTTTACATTACCTATGCTAGTTTGCCTCATGCTATATTTCCACAATGGTGAAGCTGACTATGATAGCACGTGTCACTGATGGCCTTCCATTGTCGGAGGGATTAGATGATGGTCGGGATCTCAAGGATGCTGACTTCTACAAGCAGCAAGCAAAACTGTTGTTCAAGAACTTGTCAAAAGGGCAGCATGAGGCATCAAGGATGTCAATTGAGACTGGACCATACCTTTTCCAGTATCCTAAATCTTTACTCATTCGCAATATTCTTTGTTCCACAATTTCTCATTTGGAAATAGGTGATTCTTCTTCATGATCCTAAATTAGAGTATTGTGCTCAAGGGAAGAAAAAAAACTGCACTTTTACACAGCCTAACCAGATACTGTAATAAACTTACTGAGTTCTGGTCTATATATTGGATTCACTATTCATCTACCAGTTCAAATTCCTTTGACCAGCACCCGCTTATGCATGCATGTTATATGCTTATCATCTATCGCCAATCGCCATTTAGACATTGATGTGTGGATTACACTAAGTAAGCTCTATCACTAATGACGTATATTAATAAAATGATCATTTTCTGCACTAAAATTCTTGTGGTGCTCTAGTTGTGCCTTAATTCAATAAAACAGCTACATCATTGAAGGCCGTGTGTGCTATTTGACTCTGTGCGATCGTTCTTATCCCAAGAAACTTGCATTCCAATATCTCGAAGATCTCAAAAACGAATTTGAGAAAGTCAATGGCAGCCAAATTGAAACTGCTGCAAGGCCATATGCATTTATTAAATTTGGTATGGTTCTCTGCTCATTTCTTGTCATTTTTTGTTCTCATTCCCTTGATATTTCTGCTAGTTGATAGCTTATGTGTCTCTGTTTACTTGTTTAGATGCATTCATACAGAAGACCAAGAAACTTTATTTGGATTCCAGAACGCAGAGGAACCTTGCCAAGCTGAATGATGAGCTCTATGAGGTGCACCAGATCATGACTCGCAATGTTCAGGAAGTTCTCGGTGTTGGTGAAAAACTAGACCGTGAGTGTGCCACTGTCATCTTATCTGCCTTATGTTTCCCTCATTATATATAATCATATTTTCTGCCATGTTAGACCTGTTTCGGTATCATTCCGTAGACTTGTTGTAAGATTCACAATTCAGTTTGTTTCGAGCAAATTTTGCTGTAACGTAATTTTGTACTGATATGTAGCATGCTGTGTTCCTTTGATGACACTCTTTCTGTTTTAGATTTTATCATACTAGAATAAAACCTTTGCTTTGGGACAGTTCTACAACAGAGAAACAATTGGAGATGTTGAATTACTTTTGAATATCTATGGAGAAAGTTTATGCCTTCATGGTGGAGCATATGCTCTAAACAGATTGTTCTTGTAGTCATTGCCTCATGGGCTTAGAGTGGAGGCTAAAATTTAAGAAACCTCTAGAATATTGTGGTGAGGTTTATACTTGAAACCATTAATAAAACTAACGAGGCCTTTTGGACAAGGGGAAACTTGTGAGATGTCATGCTTTGCCTGTGTGCTTCCTTTTACAGTGATCTGCAATATGACTTTTTCAGTGATATGAAATATGACTTTTTTTTTACAGTGATATGCAATATGACTTTTTTTTTACAGCGATCTGCAATATGACTTAGATGTGTTACCCTGCACATTTTTCATTTTTTTGGGAATATGTAAGCTCCTTTATATGGTAGTATGTTTGTATGCATTAGGTCTGTTGTATTAGAGATAGATGGTTGTGCTTTAGTTCAAACTGAAATCTGTAGCAAATCGAACGAAATACGACAACCCAAGCAGCAACTATGCAGAGAACTAAAAAAAGGTTAATGTCCAGGATATGAAGTGTTTCAGTCTGCCTCACATGTACTTTTCACGACACAACACTTGTTTAACAAAAGATTTTTCTTTGCAGAGGTGAGTGAAATGTCCAGTAGGTTGACCTCTGATACTAGAATTTATGCAGAGAAGGCGAAAGATCTCAATCGCCAGGTATGGTCCTGTTGACTACATTTCACTTTCCAGCTTATGCATCTGTTGAGCTGAATTTGGCTCACTTCAGAGGATATTAACTGTTCTACACGGGATTTCAAATTGTAGTTCACTTTGGCTTTGTCCTAGCTTATCTAACTTTGACTAAATTTATAGAAAAATGCACGACATCTAGAAGATCAAATTAGTTTCATTAAACCCACTATGAAATGTGCATTTATTTGTTATTATAGATGTTAGTATATTTTTTTACAAACTTAGTCAAAGTTAGAGAATTTTGACTTAGGACACTAAAACTAAAGTGAATGGTAATTTGGAATGTAGGGTGTAATATTTAGACAAGGAATATTCATGACCACGTAAGGCAAGGGATGTATCTCGTTTCATTACCATGACATACGCTCCTCCTGTGATTTTCAGGCCTTAATTCGTAAGTATGCCCCCGTTGCTATTGTGATTGGGATAGTACTGATGCTCTTTTGGCTGAAGAACAAGATATGGTGACTTGGTGCATCCCATGCTTCTCAGTTGCAACGCTGGAACCTGCTGAGTTGCCTATGTTGATCCTGGTTCGAAAGATGCTTCGATGGCTTATCCCGCATCTGCCGATTCAAGCGAGTACTTTAGCTGTCAAAAGCAAAACCGTGGTAGTAGATATGGCCTTGGATTCTTGGAACTGCGCGTTTCTATTGACTGGATCTGCGTAGCAGTATGATAGTTTTCGTGAGCGCACCATGTAAGCGTCGAAATTTATTCAGGCTCTTGACACACTTAATGCCATGTGTTGTGACACTTTGAGCACAATTTATTTAACATGGCGGCTGTGCTGCTAGAGCCTGGAGGCAGGCTATTTCCATTTATAGATGCACAATCTGTTCAATGAGACGTGTATGCAAGTGAGAGGTATTTCTCAGAGCCACGGATCTCAGCTATTTGCTCCATTCTAAATTATAAGACTTTTTGCCTTTTTTGGATCCATGACTTTTGCTATTGTCTAGATGGAACAAAGTATCTATAAAAAAAATCTAAACAATCTTATAGTTTAGAATAGAGAAAGAATGTTTTATTTATTTATTTATTTATTAATTGAAGAAAAGGTTTTGTATCTTAGAGGAGGAATGGAAGATCATGGGATGATAACTTGTTTTAAGAATATAGGGCAATGGGGGCAAATATATTTGGCGGGGGAAAGGAAGTAGAACCCATCCCCAGAATCCCTGCGACTGTGCCTGCCTGAATTTGAGAAAGTGTGCAGGGTGAAGAAGTTTGCCAAGCGCAGAGAGCCAGAGACAGCAGCCCCTCTGTGGCGCCGACATCAAGCCTGGTTTTGCTAAGTCCAGGGCCACACTTTCTCACATCAAAGGCTAATTCGGTTCAATTCAAGTAAAGGTTGCGTCTCCACTGGCCTATTGGCATGACAGGTGGACCTGAGATAAGCTAAGCTAGCAGAAACACAGCATACCGCAGGCCTGGCAATTTCTTTGCATAGAGCTTTTACTCCTATTATCAAAATGTATCCAAAATTTAATTCGAAAAAAATGAATCCAAATTTGAAATCTTACAGATCAAAAATTTTTATGCTGAGTTTCGTAATTTGGTACAATTAATCAATTATGGACTAATTAGATTCAAAAGTTTCATCTCGTGATTTCTCACCCAACTGTGCAATTAGTTTTTTTTCCGCTCTACATTCATCAACACAAAATTTTTTGGAATCACTATCGTTAATTGGATCGGTTCATCAACACAACACTATCGTTAGTTGGATCGGTACTACACAAATCCAGTATTACTACGAGTAGTTTGTTTGTTTGCAAAGAAACCGTCGAATTCCGTACACATCTCCTTCAAGAAGACTGGCTGCAACAAGAATCCAAAACCACCGACGATCGAGGAGGAGGAGATGAGGAATAGGATGTGATCAGTGATCACTAACAGCGGGAGCCCGGGAGCAGGCTACGGCTATGTACTATACTATGCTAGTGAGATGAGATCGCTGATCAGCATCGGAATCCGAGCACGGTGCCGTCGAGCGGCGAGACCCCGACGCGGCAGAGCTTGGCGGCCTGGACGCGGTGCGTGAGGACGCGGAGGACGTTGACTCTGCCCTTGACCACGAGCAACGAGTGGACCTCGATGACCGCCGGCGGCTGACTCTGTGCGGCGGACGCGGCATCGACGGCCCCGACCGTCGGCTGGGCGGCGATGGGGATGGCGGGGACGTCGAAGACGGCGGACACGTGCTTGGTGCTTCCTCCGTCGATGAGGCCCGCGGGGATGTAGACGGCGCCGAGTTCGCCCCCCGCGTAGGCGACGCGGAGGGAGCTGTCGAAGTGCGCGAGCGGGGACCGGTTGGGGTTGCGCACCGCCGCCGTCTGCTCGAACGTGAAGGCGACCGTGCCGTTGGAGGCCGAGAAGGACGGCAGGCGCACGGCGGCCACGGAGATGTCGGGTGGGCGTGGGCGGAAGAGCAGGAACAGCGCGGCGCCCGCGCCCCCCGCTGATAGCAGCAGGAACGCCGTCGCGACGAGGCAGGAGGCTAGTGCGGAGGAGCAGGGGGATGACGGGCGGCGTGGGGGAGGGAGCGGGGGCGGAGGGTGAGGGGGGCGGCGGAGGGCCGCCTCGGGGGCGCCGGAGGGGTCGTAGTCGCCGTACGCGTGTGGGTGTGGCGGAGGAGGCGGCGGCCTGCTGCTGGCGCTGGGCTGGGGCGGGACCGATGGTGATGGTTGGTTGCTGTGCGAGCGGCCCGGCGGCATGAAGGAGGGGCGATCGCGATCCGGTGGTTGTGGGCGGTGGTGGTGCCCCGGTGGCGCTGGCGCCGGAGCCGGCGCCGGCATGAAGAAGAGGCGGCCGGGCTGCGCTGGAAGTGGCTGTTGCCTGGTGAGTTCCCCGCCTCTGGCGGCGCCGGGGGGCTCGCGGCGGCGGCCTGTGGGCGGCTGCATGTGTGGAAGCTAAGCGAAGCTAAGGTAGGGTGGTTGGTACTTGGAAGAATCGGATGGAAGGCTTTAATCGCAGCAGCAGGAGCAGGAGATTGTTAACATGATGGTGGTTGGCATTGGCATGTGCGTGCTCCCTCCCCTCCTTCACTGCCTCCTCACTGTCACTAGTCGCTGCTCTGCTGGGAGAGTGAAGTGAAGCGAACTCAAGTGGCCCCCCTCTCTCTTGGTCTCATCCTTTTTTTTTTTTTTTTTCTTTTCCTTCCATACACATAATCTTTCCTCCTCCTTCCGGCTTTGGAGGCGGCTCCCTTTGCTGCTTTTCCGGATTGTGCTGTGCGGTGTCCACACGAAGCAATCGGTTCATGGGTGTGTGAGGGTACGAGATTCTCTGAAGTCGGTCTCCACGACGGTTCCCGGCAGTCACTCCATCACAACCGTCCGCTGCCACGCAACGGAGCAGCTGAGCCCGAGCACTCTGCCTTGTTCGCACGTTGGGGTGGTCCAATAACACGGCCTGTTAAGCCTAAAAAGGAGCGGGCAGCTCGCAGCCCCTACCGAGAGCTTCCCATGGATAGGAAAATCGCCGACACTGTCTTCTGCTCGAGCGTCGCGCCGTCGTCATCCCGTCGTGGAGAGTCGCACCGTCGCCAACCCCTCTCCCAGAGCCGCGCCGTCGCCATCCCCTCGCCCAGAGCCACGCCGCCATCCCTTCGCTGCGGGCCGCATCGTCGCCATTCCCAGGCCGAGCGTCTCCCCGTCGCCGTCCCTTGTCCAGTGTTTCCACCTCGTCTAGGAGCTGTCCAGGAGCACGGCTGCTGTCCAGGAGCTCAACTAGCTGCAGCACGACTACTGTCCAGGAGCTCTCTCAATCTCTAATGCTCTAAGTACAGTCTGTAGAGAATGCCTGTAAAGTGCAATTTGTGCAAGAGCTCGCAAACTGTGTAACTTGTGGTTGTATCCAAAGCATCAAAATCATGCAAATTTTATATATTGCCATTTTGTTGTAAATTGTCCTGAAATTGAATAAAAAGTATTGCTGAGTGTTGCAAATTTAGAGATGCACAAAATGTTCTGTTGTTCTCTTGCATCTAGTAGGTGTATATGACCTTGTTGCTAGTCATATGAACTTTACAATTCCCTCTACTTTATACTTCAACCATAGATGCAAAAGCTACTCCAAAACAATCTATGTTTCAGGAGAAAAAATGTATTCTTCCTACTGCAAATTACCATACTACTAGAATTCAGCAATGACATCATCTGCGATTGCCTCCTGCAAAATAAAAGGTTCATACATGTATGGTTTATACATCTGTGATTGGAGAAACAGTCTATTACTTTGAAATATTACCGTGAATAATTGAGAGAAGGTATTAATGGTCATGTATGGTTCAAACATTCTTTCCTTGGGCAAAGAAGTACTAGGAGAAATATTTTGAACCATTACGCCATCATCGACTGTTGTTATGTTGTTCTCTGGCATTTTTTCAGTTTCTTGTTCATTCAAATAAAAAAACTGAACATGTTTCAATTGAACACAATGGAAGATAATCAATTATATTTTGTGTTATTACGTACCTTTGAACCTTTTCTCTTTTTATTGCCTCTCTTCTTTGCTATCTTGTACTTCTTGTCAAGCCAATTTCTTTTGCGCTTCGAGGTTTTTGTTTCCACCTCTTTTTCTTTAGGCTTGTTGTACTCACCAAATCAACTGAGGGTGCAACATTTGTGGTAACAATGACTGGCATTGATTTCTTCTTCGACTTGCTTGCTAAGCATGTCAATGTGTTGTTCACTAATAAGGTGCATCTTGAATGACTGGCAGCTCGATGAGTCAAATTGAGAAATTTGCTAGTCATATTTTTGTAGCGAAGCATATCATCTAATTTTGGATTCTCTATTATGTTTCGGCCTTGAATGTCTTGTACTGTCCCACTGCGTGCTTCTCGTGTCCATCTCTTCAATATATATTAGGGCGGGGAGCAGTGTTTGCCTAAACGGATTAAACGGCCATTTAAACGGCCAGTAAACGGTAAACGGTGGTAAACTGTTTTGTTTACGGGGTAAACGGAAATTAAACGGTTGATCGTTTAAACGGTCAAAAAAACGGGAAAAATGGCCTAAACGAAACGGAGATAAACAACATTAAATGGGCTAAACAGCTGTTCAAACGACCGTTTAGGCGAACATGAGGTAAATCTAGTTCAGTTTTGTATGGATAAATTTGTATACTTAAGTTTATTATATTTATAAATGTGTACACTTGATATGTTACATGCATAAATATCTATATTTGGTTCTTTTCACATGCATAAATATATATACATACCAAAATAATTGTTTTTTACTCGGATAAATGTGTATAAATGCTAGAATACTTGATTTTTTACATACACATATATAATTATATGTATTTTTTTTAAAGTACAAAACCGTTTAGATCGTTTAACTTTGTTTAAACACCGTGTAAACAGCCTAAACGCTAAACGAAGGGCGACCGTGTAAAGACCGTTTACCGTTTCGAAAAACATTGGCTGGGAGTGACTTGATATTCATCAAATCAAGGATTTTTAGAGCATGGCCACACAATATTCCGATTCTACTAAACTGTCCACAACTGCATGTACTGGTTTGGTCTGAAGGATCACCAATAACTTTGTACTCCTTTTCACGGGTAAATTTTCATCAAGACTCCCAATTGCTACAAGATATTCATTTTTTCCTTCTAATGCCGTGGTGTATGTTGCCATGGACCTCTCGTATTCAGATTGAAAAGCTTCAAAAATAGTTGGTGTGTATAGCTTGCTAGCTTGGATTAACATAGGTGTCCTCACTTTCAGCCTAGGTAATTTTTTTCTTGATTCAAATTCAGCATTCAATTCATTATTTCTTTTATATTCCACATCCCTTTCAAAATGCTTAAGAAATCGAATGATATCAAAATCAGATTTGAAATGTCGCTTCAAGTCACTATTCAGACTCTCACTCAATTGTGTACTTCTCATCCCTAACGTGAACACACCCTTCATATAACATTCAACCCATTTTTCTCTCACCTTGTATATACTATCCAACCAAGTTTGCTTGCTGATCTTTGTCCTCATGTTGTTAAATGCTTGTTCAAATATTTCTTTGTCTTGTACTCATACATACATGTACTAAAATCTGAGAGAATACTTGGTTCTTTGTTGCTGCCTTTGACTTCTTGTTTTGGAGTAGCTGATTCTTCATCATAATGTTCAGCTAGATGTTTAATAGCATTTTGCATGATGTGAAAAGTGCACATACCATGCCAAGACTCCAAAAAGACCGCTTTACCTACTTTTCTCATTGCTGCATCTTGATCAGTATAGATTGTTTTAGATTTTTTTTATTATTATGCACTTTCATGAAAATCTCAAATAGCCACTTAAAGGACTCAAATGTCTCATCATACATGAGAACATCACCAAAACCATAGTTTCCCTAAAATGATTGAACCCAATAAACACACCTATTGGGTGTGATTTACTTTATACTTTCCCTTCTCCTGGTCTAGTATGAGACCTATGCGGACTTGACAATCAGTTCTAGTTTTAACTCTTCGACACTTTGTGAGATGATCTCTTTTATGTTGCACTCTATGACCTTCATTTGCACAAACATATCTGTAAGATCTAACTTTTCTATCAGATTTTCTTTTGTTTGCGTACTTTTTTCTAACCTCAAAGCCTTTTTGATCTCCAAAGGTAACCCAAAACATCCAGGCCTCTTCTATGGTACTGAACTCCATGCCAACTTGAGGTAACAAATCAGGAATCAAACTCTCCCTACAACAAAAAAATGATTTGGTGCTAAACTGAGCAACTAAAATGGAGACTCTATACTTGTGTGAAGCCATTAATCTAATCTGATGATGCAAATAAACAATCATGATTACACACCTATTTTCTGCCATATGAAACATGCAGGTTTCGTTTTCACACACACAAAGAACTTCTTTCAATCCATATCAACACATTTAGGGATGCCAGCGATGACTAGATTAGAACAACGAAAAATCTTAGTAGAGAGAAAGATCTAGGAGTGCAGAGTACTCCACTGATTGATCGTATCATCGGCAGCATAGCATGAGCAGTCGATGATCGCCGCCTCGCCTCGATCGTCCCAGCTCCAGCCCCCGCGCCAAAACAAGCCGCGTCCGCGCCAAAACAGCGAGCTGTGGCGCCAAAAAAGAGGAATGCCGCCGGCTGCTTTTTCCGCTTAGTAGGCCGTGTTATTGGGCCAAAACATGCACGTGCGAAGGAGGTATTGCCTGGGCTCAGCTACTCCGTCGGATGACATTGAACGACAGCAATGGAGTGACTGCCGGCAGCAGTCATGGAGACCGACTTTAGAGGATCTCGTTCCAGTATCAACATAGGAGGGAGGGATGGAGCCCATGCTTGAGCAAGAATAATATAATATAAATAATACAGCCCTTTATTGATTGTATATAAACTTACAATCAATCTATCAGTCTAATTATATACTAAAATTAGTTCATCTATAGTTTATTATTTTCTTCACTCACATAATTTTTTTAGTTCTTGTGCATAAGTCGGCTCCTGCTTCTTTTTCTCCTCTTTTATCTCTCCTCTATCTCAACATACAGCCTACCAACAGTCTGATTATATACTTGCTCTAGGCTCAACTAATTACGCTGCAGGAGCGGAATTAACTGGATCATCACAAATACCCTAATAAGGTTTATGCCTCATTGTGCATTCCTTCTATTCTAGTAATACGCTACTAGTATATAGGAGTATTGTTTTTCTTTCTTCCTCTGTTATTGAGAAACATTAATAATAGGAGCTGGAACCATATGACATTTTTTTCAATGTACTTACTGGTAGGACGTACCCTCTTCTTCTTCTTCTTCTTCTTCGTCTTCTCGTCTTCTTCTTCTTCTTCTTCTTCAGTTCAGCCTTGAATATCCGTATACAGTTAGTTACTCAACCAAGTACGATACAGCATCAGAGACGCATTTCTTAAACAAACCCATAGCAGGCCGGCAAGCAGTCTGCAGATGATTTGTTTCTTTCGTCCCTTTCCCCTTTCCTTCCTTTCGTTTTGGGCATCCAAAAGCGAAGCGAAGCGAGGTGTCTCGTGAGGATTAGGATTAGGAGGCTTCTTAGTCTTCACGCAACGTCTCCTTTTAATTTATTTATCTATCTTTCCTTGCTTTACTATACTTTGTGTTTGCTTTGCCTGGACCTGGATAGACACCACCTTCCTCTTCCTCCCAGCTGAGCCGCCTTCTTTTTCTTTTTCAAGCTTTTTACTATTAGCCTTCGTCCCAAGATGAGCAGGCCGCCACGAAAACAATTGTTACTATATGAAAAATCAGGATGTATATATGGCATAGCCCGCACAACTCTTTCCTTGCTTGTAACCCCCAATCCCAAAATGTAAAGATGACTTTGAGGCCAAACTAACATCACTATGCGATATGAAATCAGGTGGATATTTTCCCCTTTGAAACTTCAAAAGGAAAATTTGTTACGGAGTAGTACTATATATTATTATTACAAGGTGAAGAACTGAAGGTGAAGCCAAGCTCTGTATATCCATCCATCAATGCCTGAAAACAACTCTAGCACGCCTGCAGGTAGAGGGTAAGATCGTAAGAACTAGGCGTGGTGCGAGATGAATTTCCATCGAGTGCAAGTCCAAACAGAGAGCCAAGAGTTGGTGAAACTTTGGGAGATGGGAGAGCTTCAGAGATCATGCATTTCGCTGATCATCAGGGAAATAAGAGAGCTTAGTGTTTTTTTCCTTGATTTTTCTCTGGTGTATGTTAACAGAGTTTGTAATCGTGTAGCCCATACTCTAGGCAACTAAAGTTTAGTTGATGGATCAAACAAACCTTGCTTGTATGGTTGTACCCCGCAATCCCAAAATGTAAAGATCAGGCTTTGATGCCAACTAACATCACTATGCAATATGAAATCAGGTGGGGATTTTTCCATGTTGAAACTTCAAAAAAGAAAATTGTTACTATATACTCTCTCGGTCCACCAAAGAATGTAATTCTTGCTTCCCGATGAGTCAATCAATTTAAACTTCGACCAAAATTATATAAAAAATATGAACATTCATAGTGCAAAATTAGTATCATTAGATTAGTCATAAATATATTTTTATAATAAAATTATTTAGAGACATAAATATTAATACTATTTACTGTAAACTTGGTTAAACTTGAGCTACTTTAACCAGCACGAATCCCATAATTACATTCTTTTCCGGATGGAGTATTGTTGTTACAAGGTGAAGCCAAGCTATGTATATCCATCCATCCATCCATCAGTGCCTGAAAACAACTCTAGCAGACCTGCAGGTAGGTAGGGTAAGATCGTAAGGATCAGGACCTGCATTATTATTTATATTTACTTATATATAATCCATCCTAAAATGGGACAGACACGAGTAGCTTGCACAAGTACAACACACGATGGTTGGATGGATTGCAAGCACATCAATTTTTTTCTCGTCAGATCAGAGTCAGAGGGGGGGGAATCAGATCAGAGTAAATTAAAACAAAAAACAAAAAAAAACAATTAGACACGTCATCCACTTACCGAGAAGAAGAATGAAAAAAATTGATTCCGTTGCCGGGACTCGAACCCGGGTCTCTCGGGTGAGAGCCGAGTATCCTAACCAGCTAGACTACAACGGATGTTGATGCCTTGCTTGTTGTTCTTTTACAAATCGTAATGTAGAAATAATTCGGGTATGACAGGACCAATCTGCGTACTCTTATAAAGCTAAATCCCACTAGGTTATTTTTCTCTCCATACAAGGTGTCAACATTATTTTCCACTAAGTCAATGTCATCCCTTATTAATTACAAAAAACGAACACATCATTCTCTACTAAATCCATGTCATACCTTATTAATTACAAAAATGTCCACATCATCTCTATCACGTGCAATACTTTTCATTTTAATCCATTAACATATAAGTCATCTACATATGCTATTTGTTTTATCACATATTCCTCTATAATGTAATCAAATATTCTATTGGTTTGTCTTCTATTAGCTCACCGATTTTTACTAGATTTGATACAATAAAATAACATTCATGCAAGTCAAATTCATATATATAGAATATCATATAGTAATGTTATATATATAACATATTTATTTTTAAGAAAATCCCACGACAACGCGGGATATGGCTTAGTAATATATAAGTTAACTGCAACACTCCAGCAGAGGAAAGATTCATACTTGTACACCCTAGCCTTTTCTTTCTTTGATAAGAGCAATGGAGCTCTTTTCCATTATTGAACTAAAATTTGTAAGAAAACTAAAGGCTACGTTTGATAGAGCAATAGAGCTTTATACACTGTAACAAGGAATCATTTTTCTCTCCCCTCTTAAAATAAACTACAAGTCGATAAAGTCACTATCTTTGGTTTCGCTGGCTCTAACTCCTCCGTGTCGTGTAGCAAAAAGGTGGAGTTGTTTCGAACCGTGCCAAACAAAGCCAAAGTTTTTTTTTTTTTTTTTTAGAAAAAAAAAAAAGATGAGATCGGCATCGAAGCAACCAAAGGAAATAAAGCCTTCATGTACGGCCCACAGGCAATGGCAGGAAGGCTGTGAACTCTGGACACCAGCCCACGGTGAATTGTCAATGCAAACACCATGCATGGGCTGAAAACAAACTATAACAAGCAGAGGCCCACAATATATAACAAGTTATGTCAAGCTACATGCACGGTACAAAGACTTCACATGCTCGTGAGGCATCCACTTGCTCCAACTTCCACTCAAAAAAAAAAAAAACTTGCTCCAACTGACCCAAATCCTCAGCATGCAATCAACTCCATCTTCCTCAGCCTACAATCAACAAGGCCATCTTTGTTTCCACTTAACTGATTTGTTATCGTCGCCATTTCACAAAGATTTTATTTTTTCGATTCTCGATTGTTCTAGTTCAAAATTCTAAAGCGGTGGTTCAAAGAATCAGAAAAGATGAAACTTTGGGTCCCATTCTCACTTTTTTTTAGTGAGAATGTGACTATCAGCGGAAACAAACATAGCCAGAGACGACGCTCATCATGTGATTGAATTTCCAATGAATTTAAATCAGGTGCCATCACAATCACATCATTCAAATTTGATCTCAACTTGGCCTCCTGAAACTAAAATATAATCATGCATCCACGAACCACCCATAGAATTTCCGTCGCTCCAAATTAAATTAATAATCCTAAAGCTTCTCTAAAATTAAACCAAACTAGACTAAGACTACCTACGTGTCTGCCATGCATGCATGCATGCATCACGCGGTCAAGCCGCCTTCGAAAGGCACCCCGGTGGCCGGCAGCCACGAGTAGCCGCCGATGAACCTGCTCACCGTGAACTCCATCGCCTCCTCCGCCAGCGTGATGACGCGGTGTCCCGGCCACGCCACGCGCCCCTCGAGCTCCGCGCCGGGCCCGTAGTTCCGGTACTCGCCGTAGTACACCGTGTCGTCGGGCACGCGCGCCGACGCGTCCCACGCCAGCCACCCGGATGCGTCCACGTGTGCCCCCATGTACGACTCCATGTACACCACCCGCGCATACGGCTTCCACGGCCGGCCCAGGTACGTCGAGTTCGTCGGGTACTCACCGCGCACGGCGCGCTCCAGCTCCGTCGACGGCACCAGCCGGCAGCCGTGCACCGAGAACCCCGTGCTCTGGTTCGGGTCCGCGCGTCCCTGCGCCGTCACCGTGTTCTTCTGCTCCGGCAGCGGCCGCCGCGCACGCAGCGTGCAGTTCTGCAGCACCGCCGCCGCGTTGCCGAACACGGCGTCCACCGTGCCGGCCACCTCGCACTCGCGGTACAGCTGCCGCTGCGCGTGCGCGTACAGCGTGTCCTGGTACCCCACCACGGCGCACCGGTACGCCACCGCCCGGTCCGCGCTCACCAGCAGCGCCACCGCCTGGTGCGCCCCGGGCCCCGCGCGGTTCTCCACCGTCAGGTCGCGCACCATGAACCCGTCCCCGGACACCGACAGCGTCGCCGTGTCGAAAGTCCTGAGGCCGTCCCCGACGCTGCGGCGCCCGACCACCACCGTCTGCCCGGCGCCGTCGCCGACGAGCACCAGATTCGTCTTGTTGCGCGCCACACTGACGTTCTCGGTGTACACGCCGGCCTTGATGTAGATCACGACTCGGCGGGCGCTGTGCACGGGAGCAGCCTCCACGGCGTCGCCGATGCTCTGGTGCGTTCCGCTGCCGTCCTTGGCCACGACCATGTCGGGCACGATGTCAGCGGTCGGAGCATCGAGGAGCCGGCGATCGTTGTGTTTTACCCACCTTGGCGCCCCAAAGGTGAGGTCTCCGTGGCCGCTGCTGGCTGACAGTAGCTGTCGTTTCTGGACGGTGACGCCGGCGACGTCGCCGTCCGGTGCTCCCTGTGCCTTGAAGATGGCGAGGCTGTTGCTTAGGTGCTCCCTGAGGTTGGCGAGGGACCGAAGCATCTGGGCCTTGACGGTGTGGCCGTCCTTGCCGCCGCCGCGGTCGGCGTCAACTTCTTCATGAAGGCCGTCGCGGCACGTGTCGTGGTACGTGAGCGCCGCGCTGAGCCAGGCCATGACGTCGTCGTGCACGTCGGCGGCGGCGGCGCCCGCAGCTGTAGACACCGTGACGGCGCGGACCGAGCGGTTGAGTAGGTCGGCCGCGGCCTCGAGCATCTCGAGGCAGTCGCTGATGTCGTAGCCACCAGCAGCAGCGTCGTCCGGCGGCGCCCGCGCGGCCACGAGCTCCGTCGCGTCGGCGAGCGCGTCCGCCACTCTCCGGCGAGTGGCGTCGAGCGACATGGGCACGAGGTCGGCGTCCCGCGCGGCCGCCGCGCCGGGGAGCGCCGCGAGCTCGCTGACGCACAGCGCCGGGTACAGCGTGGGCCCGCACGTGCGCCTGATCGCCTCGGTAGAAGCAAGGATGACATCACCCGTCGGCCCCAGCCGCACGGCGAAGTAGATGGCCAGCGAGACGGCGACGGCGAGCGCCACGCTGACGGTGGACGCGAGGATGATGAGCAGACGGCGGCGGCATCCGTGCTGGGACGACGGAGGCGGCTCGGTCGAGCCGAGCGTGATATGGGCCATGCATGCAACGTTCGCTCGAGCGGTGGTGAAAAAAGAAAGCTTTTGCGTGAGTACTAATTTGTATGTCACGGTGTATATATATGGTATGGTCCGAATATATATTGTTACCGCGCTAGAATGGAAATTGATATGGTTGATTGGGTGTACACCTCACCTTGTTCTTAATCCAACTCATCTTGCACTTTTTAATTTGTTCAATCTAAATTATAAGATGTTTTGATTTTTATAGATACATAGTTTTTTTTATATACACTTAGTTATAAATTATATCTATATACGTATAAGTAGTAATAAAAGTAGAGCTTCGTTACTGTGCTTGAGAGGAACCACCGGTTCGCCCCGTAAAAATTATTTACCGCGGGTCTTAATTACGAAAATTAATTAATTATAATTAGGGCAGTTTAGTACTTTTCCTACCCTACACAATCTCCGACTCCCTAACCCTGCGTTGCGAGATCTCGCGCTTCCAGGTCGCCGTCTCGCCGCCAATCGCGTCGGCGCCGCCCTCGACGCCGATCCAGTCCTCGACGCTGATCGTTACACTTCTTGCGCCCGGCATCGTGGTGCCGATGACCGTGGAGCACTCGAACAAGAAGCAGGCCATGCACCCGCCCACCATGTTCTGCTCCTACCTCACCTTCGTCTCCGGGTTGTCACTCCGCAGCCTCGTCGCCGACGAGTTCCTCAGCGCCACGCCTATCTGGTGCCGCTACATCGCCATCAAGGCGCTCGTCCACGCCTCTGCGCTCTTCCTCGCCTCCCTCTCCTTCTCCCTCTCACTTATGATGCGCATGAACGTCGTCGATCGGGAGGACGGGGCGAGTAGGGCCGCACGGGATGCTGGCGCGGTCGCGCGTCGGAAATCTCGCGTTCGCCGCGCTTGCATCGGGAGTCACGGTGGGGCGAGGCCGCGGGTAGGGGCTGGTGACAATTCATAGATTCACATCTGTGAAAACTTAACATTATTTCCATTGTCCTTTCTCTCTGCATCTTCTCCATGCACTTCGTCCCTTCACGATCGATCGAGTAAGTTAACTAGATCATCCTGCAGGCGCGGCGGACGCCGGCAATGGTGGTGGTCTTCGGCTGGGCTATTACTCGGAGAGCTGCCCGCGAGCTGATCGAGGACATAGTCAAGGAGCAGGTGGCGCAGCCTGTACCACAAAGCACGGCAACACGGCGGTGTCGTGACTGCGACTGCGAGCCCTGTTCCACGATGCCTCGCTCCTGCTGGAGCCCACCACGACCAGCGTCTCCGAGAAGGCCTCCCGCCGGAGCTTCGGCATGAGGAACTTCAAGTACATCGACGTGATAAAAGCGGCGGTGGAGCAGGAGTGCCTGCCCCGCCACCGTCTCCGGCCTGCGCGGACATCCTGGCCCTGCCCGCGCGGGACGGCGTCGAGGGAGCTACGGAGACATGAAAGGAGACAGAGCTCGTACATGGAGATAATGGGATTCTTCTTCTTCTAGCTGCTTTTGAAACCTGAGTACCGCCCCACGAGTTTGAAGTTACTGTTCTTGAAGCTTTGATTCACTACCGGAATCCTCAAATTTGCCGAGTATTTTTATGTTTGCCGAGTATATTTCCTCGGGTACTTGGCAACTAAGTTATTTGCCGAGTGCTGCGCTAAAAACACTCAGGAAAAAAAACACTCGGCAAAGTGGGGGTTTGCCGAGTGACAAAAAAAACACTCGGCGAAGAGCGAGTTTGCCGAGTGTAAAAAAAAAACACTCAGCAAAGAAATAAAATCTTTTTCCTGAAAAAGTAGGAGAAAAAAAACAATAAAAAAAACTTTGCTGAGTGCTCAGATCTAGAACACTCGGCAAAGAAATAACATCTTTTTCTGAAAAAAAGGAGAAGAAAAAAAATGAATTTTTTTGCGAGTGCTCAAATCTAGAACACTCGACAAAGAAATAAAATCTTTTTTCTAGAAAAAGAAAACCTCGCCTCCCTCCTCCTTTCCCGCACTGCCTCCCCCCGCCGCCCCTCCCTCCCTCAACTCCCACCTCCCTCTCACTGCCCCCTCCCAGCTCCCTCTCCTGCCCTCTCCACCACCGGGCCGGCCATCATCACCAGCGCCTCCTCCTCCTCCCTCCCTCGCCTCGCCTGCCTCGCTCGCCTCCTCCCCCTCAAATCCCGGCCGGCGCCCCTCCCCTCCTCTCCCGGCGCCCCTCCCTCTCTCCCGGCGCCCGCCTCCCATCCTCTCCCGGTGCCCCTCCCTCGCTCGTCCCCTCCCTCCTCCCGCCCCCTCCCTCCCCTCTCTCCCAGATCAGCCCCCCTCCTTCTCTCCCAGCGCCTTCCCCCCCCCCCTCTCTCGGGCCACCGCCCCTGGATCCGGCCCTCCCTCTCCTGGATCCGGCCGGTGGTGGCCGGATCTGGGCTCTGTTTGCGGGCGGCGTGGTGTCGGCGGCGTGGGGGCGTGGTGGTGGTGGCGGCGACAGGCGGCTTTGGTGGTGGTGGTGGTGGGCGGCGGCTGTGGTGGTGGTGGTGGTGGCGGCGGCGGCGGCAGGCGGCTTTGTTGTTGGTGGTGGTGGCCGGTTGTGGTGGTGGTGGCCGGCGGCGACGGTGGCAGGCGGCTTCCTTTTTTATTTTTTCCTGAAAAATATTTGCCGAGTGTTTTTTTGGCACTCAGTCCGACAAAAAACACTCGGCAAACATCGTTTGTCGTTAAATTTTTTTCCGAGTGTCGCCGAGTGTTACATTCAACAAACCATTTGCCGAGTCCGAGTGCCAGCTCCTGTATCCCGTAGGTGATTTTTGCCTCACGAGCACCTAACAGGTTTGCTATCGGACAACCGCATGTTTCACCGAGCCCCAGCAACCGGTTTTTGGACCGTAGATTTGCTTCACCTGCCGCATGCGCGCAGTGGATCCTCCGATTCCTCACCTTGCCAGGAAATCACCTCAGCACAGCACCGCCCCCGGCGGACGGACCCGGCTCATCACTGACTCCTCCGGGCGCCGCGTACGAGATCCGCGGCAGAAGGGCCGGAGCACCCCAGCGCGGCAGCGCACCGGGCAGCCGGGAACCGGCTCATGCGTTCCTCCGAGCGCGGCGCACGAGATCCGGGTGTACATGTACCCCGCCTCGGAAGAGCTGAAGCATGGACGGCGGCGACGATGCTGGTGGCGGAGGCGCCGGTCAAGAAGCCTCGCACAAGGGCGGCACGAGTGCGACCACATCAACTTGTTAGTGCTGCTGCTCGTCTTGTTCGTAATAAGAAGTTATAAATATAGTTATAAGACAGCTTAAGTGCATTGAAAAAATCTGGTCATTGAAAGGGGCTAAAACAACGAGCACCTAACTATTCCCACACCTCCTTTGAAGCTCATCTTTCTTTCCCTATAGACGGACCTGTTATGACTAATGCTCAATCTGAATTGTTGCTCATATCAAATGAGCGATGGGACTGAACACATGAACGATGCACGGTCTTATCTTAATGCAGGGAATCCAATGACATTAGTCTGAATTGCTCAAAATCCTTATTTATCCTTAATGTTCACTCAGTAAAGACTTGTGTGTGTATATAACTGAAAATATGCCACAAGCCACCCTTTCAAGATCCTAAATGTTTGCTCTGTGGGGGTTTAGGAGCTTGACGGTTGTCTTCTGCAAAAAAAAAAAAAATTTGGCTCACATCTACTCCTGTCGGACCATGTTCAAAACCTAAATCAATTTCCTTCACAGAAAATAGGTCTATTAAACTTTAATTTGTAAATAATGTGGTGATCCAAACAAGCCCTAAATGACGATAGTGTTGGGGACATGATTTACGCAGACTCATGTCCCAGATGGGGATGTGGTGATAGCCCTACCTTACAGCTTGTACTCCCTCTCCGTTTCAAAATTATGTCATTTGTCTTTAAAGTACATACATATATATTTTTTTTTACTATGCATCTAGATGTATATTATGTCTAGATACGTATAAAAACTTTGTATCGAGTGAACCGTCATATGACCAAGCTTTTGACTCGAGGTAGACGACGTACAAACTCAATAGCCAACAGGGTAATGTTTGGACCTGCACACCCTGAATCAATATAACAGCAGCAAGTTTGGCCATCGATCGAGTGTTGTCTACACGCCAGCCCAAAGCACATGTTTGTATAGCCAACTATGGTGACCACGACTACTGAACACAGGTGGGGCGAAAAGGAAAATGTTAGTACAAAGAATGCCACCATGTGTATCATGGAATTGCTATAACAAATGATTGGTATGTCGAACTAATGTTTTATTTCATATTTCTGTTTTATTTACGACCAATTTTGATTAGAAAGTCCACGATACAAACAATCTATCATCTCTTGTTTTCTATACGATAGCTAGCTTCATCTCATACAAAAGGTCACAGAAGTAGAATTTTATTCCGGATCCGCAGCTGTTTGCGCAACACACACGAGTTTGCCGATCCCGCACTGGCCACTGGCATCACCTAGTCTTTCCGGATGGACATGACCACAACACACGAGCTAACAGAAATTTACAGCGACGGATGAGCGTCGTAGTTACTACTAATACTAACATGACATGACAGCAAGAGTGTTGCGGTTACTGTTACCGCTACCCACCTAGACTTTCAGCCCCTACTCTGCGCTGCGCTGCGCTGCAAGTCTGCAATGCAACAAACTTGCCAGTGTCCCTCAAGGTGTACACAAAATGTGGCGCTGCCTCCCTCGCCATTACCGGCTACTAGCAGCAGTCTCACCACTCACCTTCAGGCTTCAGTAGCCTTGCAGCTAGTCGCTCCACCTTCAGTACAGCCTAGCAACCACCAAGATTCACCATGGTGCAGTGGCTAGCTCCCGCAGCGTTGCGCCGCTCCTATTCACCCTTGCCTCCACCTCCTCCATGTCGGCATCAATCTTACCCAGAGCGTCCTTCACGCTCCCCAACGCAAGCTCCAGTGCCTTCACCTTCTCCGCGGCACGAGCCTTCTCCGCACTCATCTCCCTGTACTGGTCCCTCGCCTGCTGAGCCTGGGCAGACACACCAAGGAGGTCGTCAACGCGCCTCAGCAGGAACCCGACGTCCATGCCCAGCAGATCCACGGACTCCAGGGTCTTCTTCCACACCAGCAGGTCCTCGCGGGACGGTGACCGCTCCACTGTGCATGCCCGGATGCCCTCTGCGATGCTGACCGTCTCCATGATCGCCCCCATGACGAGGGTCAGGTTTAGCTGCTTCAGCAGGTTCCTGTGGAGGAACGCCTTCTGGGAGCGGCAAAGCTCGTAGTACGTCCTCCGCAGGTGCTCCTGGAACTTGCAGTCAATCACCAGGCTGTCCACGACAATGCTGAAGTCGCTGAAGCTCGCCACGTCACCAAAGTCCATGTCTGAATCCGAGATCCTGAGCCCGCCCGCTTCGCTGAAGATGACGTTGTTGTCATTGTCATCGTCTGCAGGGACACTGTGCTCCACTCTGGTAGCCTCTGCAGCATCAGAACATTCAATTTATGAGATTCAATAGTTATTTATTTATTAGACCATGTCCATGTATCAAAGGGTGAGATTCCTTATTGCAACTTCAAGAAGAACTTACTTGATAGTAGCTTCCCTTTCTTGCGCGCTTCTAAATTCAGCAGACTGATTGCTCCATCAGTTGCTGTAAATTCATTAGCTCTTATTATGTATACCTGAATGTAAAACATATACAAAATAATAATTAAAATATCGTTGAAGAAATGGGGAGGGTGTTTACCTCTCTAACATAAATTTGACCATTTAATTTGCTGTTTTTTTTTTTCATTTACACCCTTAATTGTCCAAGTGTCATTTCTGGATCTACCCCTACTTATGAACAGATTATTGAAAAAAAAACATTTTGACAAAACATAGAAAAAAAACTTGCCTTAAATTTCGTTGATTCCACAAGCTGGAAAACCAAAACATCGCCAACCTTAATATCATGTTTAATTGCGAAACCTCTCCACCCACCACTTAGTCCCTGCCTGGAACCTAGATACCTTGTGTGATGATCCTCTCCATTCTCATCTTCTAACATAATTCCAGTGTCTTGCTTTGGGAGATGCTTGTTACAAAAGTCAGTTGGCATACTCTAGGAGCAGAACACAAAAGTTCGATAAAGATGAAGCAAGAAAAGGGACAGATCACAGATGGATTGTACAAAACTTGTGATATCCTTTGTAATGCGCAGTGGCCTAGTGGGTGGTTGCAAATCAGACACTCAGTGTGCTTTAAGATCCTGAGAGTGATGTGGTACTTGTCACTTTCTTAGTTAACTTAATCTTCTCAACAGTTTCAATGTTTCTTCAGGATGTCTCTCCTCGCATTAAATTTTTTTGTTGCATAAGTTGTCCATAAAAAACAATGATCAAATCTTTAGCATTGGTCAAACATTCAAATAGTTAGTAAGCAGTAGCAACTTACAAGCCAAAACCCCCGGATGACATGAGATGGTAGCATAGTCTTGGTAAAGCTAAGATTGTTTTCTGGCAACTTCGCCTGTACCTCCTTAGCTCTAGCCATAGTGGATCCACAGTTGCCATGAACACTGGAATTAGATTAAAGATGTAGGTGAACAATTAAACAATTTTGACAACTTCAGATGCAGTTTACTTATGAGAAAAGGAAAAACATAAGACAAGAAGAAGTACCTAGCACTTAAATTTTGGCCATTAATATCAGATGCCTGTCAAGTTACAACATATTCATAATTAATCCATTCCTTCTGGCTTGTACTAATGGAAAGGCAAGAAAAATTGGAGCTCGAAAAAACACAGCAATTCTAGATAGAGCAATGGAGAGGGGAATAGTAAAGTCCACTTAACTAGTAGTGTATGTTTATAAGAAAATTTGAGCCAACCATACAAAATTTCTAAGCCCTAGGTTTTGAAAGATTTTTTTTCTAAGGACTATGCGATTATAAATGAAAACAGGAAGTGTGGATATCTTACTTCAGCAATGTTAGTGACGCCAGTAATGATGTTTTGGGCATTGTGTGCCTGAGGGGCACCAGAAAGCTTTTTTTGCTCACTGTCCAGCCTCCTTGACTTCAAAGCCTTTCATGAAATGGAAACTGGGGTTTGAGAAAGCTTAAAATAAAAAATAAATGCAACTGCAGGCCATGAAAAGGGGATCTAAGTATGCTAGTGCATATTGGTCATGTAGAATTTCTAGTAGTGAAGCTGTGAATGGAGCAACTGCATATATAGTGAATTTCTGTATAAAAATGAAAAAAAAGCCTCCTGATATATATTTTTTTGTAGTGATGCTTGCTTATGAATGGAGCAACAGTGTTCTTACTTTCAAAGGAATATCATCGCCCTCATCGTCTGTATCACAACAATGAAGTACCGCTGGCTGGTGACAAACAACAATAGCAAGCTCATCATTCTGCATTCATTCAACGATTATCCTGTGATGACAATATCAAACTTTTTTTTGCGAGACCCAGACGCAGACGCTCACATACACGAGCGCACACTCACCCCTATGAACGCACGCACGCACACCCTACCCCATAGTCTATATATCACAGAGCTGCATAATATTGTTGCATTGATGATGAAAAAGCTAATGGCTAATTTCTGAACTTCATTTTAATGCGGCACATAAGGAACATTTCCAGATGGCACGTTTGATCAAACATACAGCAAACAAAAGAGGCTTGAAGGGCAACACAATCTACAATACCCATCAAATCAAAGACTACAATATCAGAAGTGCCGAGTTCAGAGTAGTGATTCAGGGACCGACCAACATTCAGACTTCAGAGAAAGCAGCAGCACCTCCTACAGTTTTGAAGTACTATGAACAGGTGCTGAGCTTAATCAAAGGAACGGTGCTACTCTGAAGCCAGTGTTAGATCATTTCACGCAGGGTCTCACCGTGGGCACCCAAACACCAACCTTGTCACTGTCGCTGCAGCTGCTGTTGCTGGCACTGTCAAGCAAGGCGACCCTCTGCTTGACCAAAGCCATCTTCTGCTCCATCTTGCTCTTGGGGGACTGCGCGCCAGGTGGCCTCCCAATCCTGCTCTTGGCAGACTTGGAGCCAGGTGGCCTTCCCCTCTTCCTCTGCTGAGCAGCCCACCAAAACAGATGAAATCAGGAACACATTCGGTGCTCGGCTATCTATCTATCTATCAGAACGAAAATCAAAGATCAAAGCTTTGTGTGTTCCTAAATCACATCTGGCAGCGAGTGGTGACAAATCGACCAAGGAGGGGAAAAAAATATTGAGCGATGAAATGAAGTCTTTGCAGGGAACGAAGAATGCTAGAAACAGTAACGCAACACAGAGTGGCTGAGGACTGAAGAAGACGAAGATTGAAAAAAAAAATGTGCGCCACCTGAATGCTAGTAAAAGAAAGTTAAGATCAAGACAGTGAACAAATATTTGAAAACAAAACGAGAAAAAAAAAAGACAGAAAACACAGTGCGGGCGGTTGCTGGTTAAAGAAAGGAACTTGCTTTGAGTGGCGGATCATTCGCCATTGCCTCCGCAACGCCTCGCTGGAACCCTGGAGGTCGGACGCCTTGCTGGAACCCCGTCGCTGCTCGAGGAAACAAGGAAAGGACTCCGCAATCTGTTCAAGTCCAGAAAGTTGGATGGGTCTCTAGTCTCTACTCTCTGAGGAGAGAGAAGCTATAAATGTAAAAATTAAAAAAAAAAACGGTAAAAGCTGAAGCAAGCGGCAAGCACCAAATGTTCACATACAGTGATTGATGGATTCCACGAGACACGCAGCTATTTCCATCGGTCCGTGGGCTTCTCGGCTCCTCGGCCGAACGCCGTTCAGATTTCAAAAACCTTCCACGGATACACGTATTATTAGATTGAGGTGTACTAGTATATACCTCTTTTTTTTTTTTATCTGAACGGAATTAGAGTTTAGGACATTATTAAAAGAGGTATAATACCTCTTTTTTACCGACTTTGGGGTTTGAATTAATTTTTCAAAAGAAACGTTGAATTAATTTTTCAAAATTTAACCTTAAGACACGTGAAATAATGTATTTGTATTTGGGCTTCGGAATTAGAGTTCTGGACTTCAGGGTCACTGTGATCTCCCACAGCCAGTGTCAGTGGGTTTCATGCCTAGTCTAATACACTTATATTTTGAAAATAATGCACAAGAGTTTAATTCCTATGAAGCTATCTCTACTCCCATGAAACTTTCATGATCTCTTCCTTAATCAATGTAGCGACGTGTCAGCGTATTTAATGCTCATGAAACTCTATGAAACCCCATTGAGATTTGCCTAATTTTTTGGTAAAATCTTTCTCTCGCTTAGGAAATGCTTAATGACGGTAGCAGGAATTTAGCATGCTTAATTTCATAATAAGAGGAAAGAAATAAAAACAAAAAAGCTCACCTAGCTATGCTAGAGACGAACAATCTCACCAACCTTGATATCTAAGGCTTCAGAATCAGGGTTTAGGACTTTAGGGTCTCTGTGATCTCCGACAATAGCTTTTAATGAATCATTCTCTCTCTATGGAAATGCTTAATTCCAATCTTAGGGATTCAACACGCGTAAGCTGATAATAAGAGAACAAAATGAAAAAAAAAAAAAAACTCACCTGGCAACGCCAGAAACATAGGACCTCACCACCCTTTAGATCGAAGGCTTCAGAAGCAGGGTTTTGGACTTTAGGGTCTTCGGCACTAACATTTTGGTGAAATCTCTCTCTCTCTCTCTCTCTCTGGAAATGCTTAATTTTGGTTGCAGGGATTCAACATGCGTAAGCTGATGATAGGAGAGAAAGAATGAAAACGAAGAAGCTCACCCGATGACACCAGAGATGAAGGACCTTGCCGGCCTTTAGATCTGAGGCTTTAGAATTGGGGCCTATGACTTTAGGGGCTTGATGATCTCTGGCACTGAGGACCCCACCTAAGAAATGGAAGAGGCCGATTACAAGTGGAGGTAGCGAGCCTGAGGTGGTTCACGTGGTGGCGGCGATGGAGTTGGCGGTGCACCGCTGGAGCCGAAGAGGAGATTGGGGGTGTTTGGGTCAAAGAGGTGGAAAACTGTTAGGGGTTGGTGGCGGCGGTAGGAAGAAAAAAAATAGGTGTGCAGTAGATAAGACATGATGATATAAGTTTTAAGGTTGAGTGGTGAGGGGACCGGAGGATTTTTCTATGCATGTGCTTTGCAGTCAGCTCACTCCTCTCTTTCTCTTTTTTTAGCCGCTCCGATCCTGAGCTTAAGGGAGTGTGTTTGGTTTGAAGAATCTCTAATTCTAGATGAGGTGGCGTGTCGTACATAAGTGCAAGCCATAATTTTGGTAAATTGACCCAATTTGTCATGCATAAGTGCAAGCCATAATTTGGTAAAATGGTCCGATTTGTCATATACTTATATACTAGTTATTAGTTTATACTAAGAATGTAATGATGATTATTGCCACTGCACAAGATATAATAAAAAAATAATGTGAAAAAATGATAATGGATCACTCATTTCTCAAACTAAATGCCCTCTTAAAAGTTCGACTCGATGCTCGTTTTCACCCTTGTTTTAGGACGCTGAACTTCCTTCAGGTACACATACGAGAGAAGTTCTCAATCAAATTATTTGTCTTGTGTAGACATGCATAAAAAAAGTTTGGAATCACGATGCACACGCTAAACGAAGGCACGACACGGCTATGGTATGGCCAACCATCACATGACATGGAACGGCTATACGATCAGCCGAACTATACCCGCAGCTAGTGGAGGAACACCTTACACTATTTACATCATCAAAAAAATGGCATTTGGTACATTCTCGCGTTATATTCGATCTATCTATAGAAAGCTCCTAATTAATATACCATCATAACACCAACAGGATATGCATTATCAGCCTGTTCGGCGGCTGTGACTGTCTTTATCTGGCTTGGCTTATCAGTCAGCCAAGAGTGTTTTCCTCCCATTCTAAACCAGCAGCAATACTTTCAGCCCATGGCTTATAAGCCAATCCAGCCGAAACGAACCGATATTATTTTCCTTGCATTTGCACGAGACTTAGTGATGCCACGGTTTATTCCTTTCCGATCCCGCGTTCCTTTTGTGCACTTATATATATACATAATATATGTGGCAATATAATACTGTAAGTAAATATTGGGACTATTTGTTTGAACTTATCAGTCGGCTTATCAGCTAGAATCTATAGTATTTTTCTCTCACAATAAAATAGCTTAAGCCAGCTTATCAGCTGGCTTTAATACCAGCCCATGCACAAGCACTAGAGTATACATAAGTACTAGAAGTTAAGGATTGTTTGGTACGGCTAACCTTTACCTTCACTAGCAAAGCGGATTTTTTTCTATGGTTCCATAAACAGGGTTGATCAGTAAAACTAAAGTTGTTTTTAGAAAAACGTTTGGTAGCTTCATAGGAAATAGAGAGAGAGAGAGGGAGTTAGGAGAAGCTAATATATATTTTCAGTTTCACCAGCGTTACTCGTCTACACATGCGTAAATTGAGTTCGGCCCGAGCCCATCAGGTTTTGGTCCCACCCAAGAATCTTAGTGGACAGGGTCTAGGCACAGATGCTGCCGTTGTCCTGAAAACTTTTTCTTAGCTAGAGCTCGACTGAAATATTTATTTTAGTTATTTTATACTGTAAACTGCAAGAGCGACTTGTCTAGGCCTGGTTCCACTGAGTCTGGCCTTAAAAATACGCTTTTAACAGCCAAATCTTTTTTCGACCTGAGCCTGGCCCGCAAAATGCTCACGTCTATCCTGAGCATGTGAGAGCACATTTTAGAGAACTTTTAGAAAGAAACTGTTTCCAAATAGTTGTTTGATAGGAGAAGTCAGAAAACAGCTTTATAAAGTTAGAACATAATCCCTATAAAAAGACCCTTATTGCATCCGGCCCAAAACACCATATGTTCGATGCACGGTTGCTACCTCTACATAGCCTAGTGGTTACAAGATCCTCCATAGCACCTGAGGTCCTAGGTTCGACTCCTCATGGGAGTGAATATTACATGATTTAACGGCATTGTGCATTTAATGGTAGACGATGTTTCTCGTCGACAGTGAGGCATCTGTGGTGACTTCTTCAATCTCGAGGATTTGTCAGCTCAGTCTTCAAAGATGCTCATAAGGGTAGGGTTTGCATGCTTGTGTTCATAGGGATGAGTGTACATGCGTTGCAGGTGTCTACATTGTACTGTGTAATTGTAAAAAAAAAACACTACCATGGAGAATCACTTTGCCAAATCAATATATTCTCCAATCCAAAAAAAGTATAATTCTCATCTTTTGATGATACAACAATCTAATTTTTTTTATTAAATACTAAAAAATAATATTTATGATATGTAATGCTCCTCTCAATTCAAATTATATGGTATTGTGGCTTTTCTAGATACATTATTTATATTATTTCTAGACATTGTGTATATCTAAATACATAGCAAAATTTATTATCTAGAAAAGCCAAAATATCTTATTTGGAACGGTGAGTATGTATCATTAGATTAATTCTAAAATACATTTTTATAATTCAGAATGTAGTTTTTGCGATGGAACACAATAAAGCACTAGGCTAAATGGATTATGAGCTGAGTTTTATCAAAGTTTTGTGATGTCATCAGAAGGGATCTGATGCAAATGTTGCATAATCTTCAATCGAGAACCTTGCTACTCTTTAGTCTCAACTTTGGTGTCACAACTTTGATTCCGAAAGTCCAAGAAGCAAATAGAATTCAACTGGATCGGCCAATTTGCTTGCTAAATGTTAGCTTCAAAATTGTCACTAAATTAGCAAATATTTGAATCAACACAATAGTAGATTATATAGTTGGTCCAACCCGACGCAACATCCTTGAGGGAGTCTTCATCATGCATGAGACAATTCAATTCATGAGTTATTCAAGTACAAGGTACCCTATGTCCAATGGAGGATGCTTCCCTTGCGCCGTGCGCTTGGGTTTATAAGGGTGCCGATGAGTTTGTCTAGGGTTCTAGCTTCTAAGCTATGAG